CTGCGATAAAACAACCCTAGGGCCCTCGAGGGGCCAAACAATCACGAAAAACCGAGACTTACCAGCGGTGGTGCTCTCAGATGCAGCGGCTCTTTCAGCGTGAGTCGCGTTTTGATGTCTAACTCCGATCAACCTGTAGAGAAAAGAACGGTGATCACAGTGGTATAAAATTTGCATCGAACGGAGGCCGGGAAGGGCCTCATCGGAGGCAAAAACAGAGGGGGGTCGTGGCGACGCCACCAGACTTCGGCTAGGTTTTTCGGCTGTTTGGCCAGTGGTTTGGCTCCAGTTTGGCCATAGGCGGACTCAGCATCGAAAAACGAGCCAGGAAGAAAAAATTTACCTCGATTGGCGGTTGGAAACTTCTCCGGTGCGGCAACGGCCGGCTCCTCCGGCATCTGGTTCTTCTTCTCCGGCGAGGCACTGGCGGCTAGGGTTTTGTGGTCAGGTGTGGGTGGGGTTATTTATACCCATTGCCTTTTAATCTCAACCGTCCATCAAGATTAAATATGGACCGTCCATCGCGATGCAATCTGGGTCGTCCGTGCTTGATTGAATCTGGGCCATCCGTACGCGTAATCTGGGCTGTCCGTGCGCATGTTTGATTTGGGCCGTCCGTGCGTGCGGGAACAGATCTGGGCTGTCCGATCGCAAGCATACGAATAGCCCACGTGGCCCGTCCTGTGTCAGCGTTTCCTCACCACGCGGCGTGTCCTGGTTGGCCGGGACTGCTGACCAGGCCGCTGATGTGGCTGCTGACGTGGGTGTTGACGTGATAAACTTTTCTAAATTGTGTTTTGACCCCCGGTTTCCGATTTTCTTTTCAAAAACACCCTCATAATCCAAAATTTCACCCATTTTTTCCAAAATCAATTTCAATTAAATCCAAATAATATTTTTACCCAATTTTATCATTTTTTTTCATTAAATTAAATTAAATTAAATTAAATTAAATTAAATAAAAATCTAAAAAATTCAAATACAAAAAAAAATAATAAAAATGATAAGAATAAAATTAAAAATACTTGGGTGTTACAACTCTCCCCCCCTTAAAGAAATTTGGTCCCCCTTAAAGAAATTTAGTATCCCAAATTTGCCTCTTACTCTTGGTCGAACAAATGGGGATACTGGGCTCTAAATTCTGATTCTAGCTCCTAGGTAGCCTCCCTGGGCGTGTGGTTCTGCCACACGACCTTTACAAATAATATTTTCCGGTTGTGGAGTATTCTACTCTTTCGGTCCGTGATACCGACTGGTACTTCTTTATAAGACAAGTCCTATTGGAGTGGAAGCGGTTCATGAGCCAAGACATGAGAAGGATCCGGGTTGTACTTACGTAGCACGGATACGTGGAACACGTTGTGGACTCTGAAGAGAGCTCTGGAGGCAGTGCTAGTCTGTAGGTAGCAGTACCAATCCTGTCTAAGATTTTAAAGGGTCCAATATATCAGGGGTTTTATTTTTTCCTTATGCCGAACCTACTAATTCCCTTGAAAGGAGTGACCTTAAGAAACACCCGGTCGCCTTTCTCAAACTCTAGGTCTCTCCTCCGGGTATCTGCATAACTCTTCTGCCTACTCTGAGCTGTCTGAATGTTCTTCCTAATTTTAACTATTTTGGATGTGGTCTTCTCTACCAACTCCGGGCCGGACAATCTTTTATCGCCCACTTCCTCCCAACAAATCGGTGATCTGCACGGGCGCCCATATAACACCTCATATAGAGCCATGCCGATGCTTGCTTGGTAGCTGTTGTTGTAGGCAAACTCTATCAGGGGTAGATGGTCGTCCCAATGGCCTCTAGAGTCCAGGACACAAGCTCGGAGCATATCCTCAAGCGTATGAATTGTCCTTTCTGATTGTCCATCAGTCTGGGGATGGAAGGCAGTACTAAGAGACAACTTTGTTCCCATAGCTTGCTGGAAGCTAATCCAAAACTGAGAAGTGAACCTGGGATCCCTGTCGGATACTACTGTCACTAGAACCCCATGCAATCTGACTATCTCCCGGATATACATCCTTGCAAACTTGTCCAATTAATCGGTCATCCTGATGGCTAGGAAGTGGGAAGACTTGGTAAGTCGGTCAACGATTACCCATATGGCATCATGTCCTAAACGTGCCTTGGGTAGCCTCGATACGAAGTCCATGGTGATATGTTCCCACTTATACTCCAGGATCGGTAAAGGCTGAAGTAACCC